GCAGAGCCCTAAAGTATTTCTGATTTAGGTAAAGTGAATTTAAGCCTATCAGCAAGCTTACACACACCCCTAGAGACACACAGAGCACAGCTCCAAAACATTTGAAGGGAGTGAACTGGATGGGTAAAAGGCTGAAAACTCGTGGGTTGAGATAAAGACAATTTAACAGGGAAAGTAAAAGCCACGCACACAAGGAAAGGAAAACAAGGAATGAATTCCTTGTGTCCCATGGGCAGGCAGGGGTTCAGCAATCTCCAGGAGAGCAGGGCCCCACCACTTGGGAAGGCAAACACCATCACTCTAAACCTTTCCCCTTCCTTCTTCTTCCCCCTCTTTATACACTGAGCACGATGTCCCATGGTCTGGAATGTCCCTTTGGTCAGTTKGGGTCACCTGTCCGGGCTGTGTCTCCTCCCAGGCACCCCCAGCCCCTCCCCAGCGTGGCAGCACCAAAAGCAGAAAAGGTCTCGGCTCTGTGTGAGCCCTGCTCAGCAATAACAAAACATCTCTGAGTTATCAACCTGTGCTCAGCACAAACCCAAAACACARCCCCATATCAGCTCCTGGGAAGGGAATTAACTCTACCCCAGCCAAAGCTGGCCCAATTTTAAATGCTGATTTACTCAAAGCTAAACCAGAAATTGGCCTGACAGCAAATAATAGCAAAACAAAAATGTGACAGTGACCATTACAATGGAAAATGGCTTGTAATAGAAAATTGTGATGTGCTAATATCAGCAGCATSGCTGTATGAAAGCAGCTTAGAGCTGGGAATACAAGCTGTGAAATGCAGTTTAGTCAGTCTTAACTGCAGTGCAAGATGTCCCTAATAAATGGGTGCAGATATCTCAAAGTATGTCACTTCAGAAGACAGTTGAACTATATTCTTCTCTTTCCTGTGGTATATCTCAGTTTAAGTTTCCTGAATAGCTGCTTGTTCATCCCATTTTCTAAAATAACCCATTTGCATAACTGACCAAACTGACATTTGGGGTTTGGAGGACTGGGATGTTCCCATAGTGCAGAGCCTGTTTTGTKCTTCTGTAGGAAAAAATCGCCACAYRTGAGATCTTGTGGTTCTCATGGAATGGCACTTTGGTACATTAATAGAAGTGGTTTTTTTCCAGATTCAGGAGGAGAAACAAAGGCTGCCTGACAGATACAAATAAGCTGAAAAAACATGCAAATTATTTAACATAGTTTGTATGAAGGCATGCCAGAAAATGGAGAGTTTGAAAAAAAAAACAACCATCAATACGAGGGTTGATCTTTTTTCCTCTATATTTGTTCTCCAGCTTTCAAATTTTGTTCCTGGACTTTTGCTCTCCTGAGCAAAAATTCTCCTGTTTTGAGTTACCCCTGAGGGTTAGCTTCCCAGTCCTTCAAATCAAATAATTGTTGTGGGGTTTTCTTGGGGGTTTTGATTGAGATTGTTTGGGGTTTTTTTTGTGTCGTGGATGTTTCTTTGGGACTTTGGGGTTTGGTTTTTTTTTGTTGGGTTGGTTTTATTTGGTTGGGTTTTTGTTGTTTGTTTTGTGTGTGCTTTGTTTTTAAAGCTTAAGACAGAGTTTCTTTTCAAGTGAGGATTTTAAAAGCAACTGTAATGAAGCAGTAACAAACCTCTACCACTTGCAGCAGAGTATGGCAGCCCATCTGCATAAGAGGCTCAATAACCAYGAACCTCAAAACAAGCTGAAGGCAAGTGGGGAAGACAGAGGGAAGAAAAAGGTAAGATAAAGCTTTCACTTATATCCCAGTGCAGGTGCATGAATTGAAAATTGTTACATTTTCTAGCAGGCCAAAAACACAAATGCTGACAGTATCTTGGAATAACCCGTTCTTTATTTGCTACCATTATAAACATCTCTATTACACAGACATCACAGTTTACATTATTGCTTTTATATTGTAAACAGGAATTCCTATTAGTTTGCAGTTATCTAAACACAGTGTGATAAGAAGAAACTGCCCACAAGCTGCCTTGGGCTGGGTTGGTTTTAATTCCCTAGAGAAAGACAGTATCTAGACTGGCACACCACCAGTCCAAAGATGGGTCACCATGGTACTACAGCAACACAAACAAGAATGACAGAAGGAAACCACAGGTCACATCTTCACCATACATCACTAGCAGTATTGTCAAGAACACTGACTGCTCAACTCCCACCTAACTAACTAAACACAAACTTTTTCATCATAATTCCTAAAACAAGGCTAAGTCATTTTTTTTGTGAAATTTTATTTAAACTAGGACGGAAAATCTGAAAAACCGATGAGGTTATGTGCATATGTTTAATTTTTGTTTTATTTCGTTTTTCAGAGACTGAAAATCCAAAACTATTTATGTGAGGTGTTTAAATTGGCCCCTTTTCCTACTGCCCTTTAGGACATATTACCCTATTCTTTACATGGCTGTATCAGATGACAGAAGCACAACCAGTTTAAAAACATTGTTTCTTTCTTCCTAAGCWGCACTGTCTTCAAACACTTTCCTGTTATTAGTTACTTCTGAAACAATGTGATTTCTTAGTCAAAACTAATTTAGATTTTACATTTGCTTGTGGTAAACTTCTCATCTTCAGATTAATTTGTTCATACAGTGGCACCATGTTTCAAGTATACACTAAACAACAAAAGTGGAGGTAGTTTGTTGAACACTTGCTACAGGAACAACATCAACAAATTTAGAGAACCACCTTGTTGTCTCTAGCTTTAAGTTTTTTTTTTTCTTAAAACACCATTGCATACAAGCTTTCACACAGTGAATGTTTTAAAGAGGCAGCAAGTTAGAAAACTAACAGCACTTGCAAGTTTTAGTAAGATATGTACTTTAAAACATGATGGGTTAATAAATAACTGAGTTTTTAAGACTTTTAGAATAACCTGTGAGCAATAAATTCTGATGTTAAAGATTATATCAACTTGCAGAAAAGTGGCCYACCTCCATTTCCAATCTTCCATAACCTTAGGATTGTCACCCTACAACACAGTTAGCAAAAAATACCATTGACTAGTGAAGCCTCGCTCTTGCCTTCTCTAAACACAATTTTACCCTTTTCCATACATTTTCCATCTACCACCATAATACAATCAGCCTACCAGTGGTGCAAACAGGGACACCCAGTACTAGTCTACACATAGTGATTGACTCTTAGAATTACCCAGCTAGTTGATCATACAAAACCACATGCAAATTCTAACTGTTTACTGGGAAAGTGCACTGGGGCCTAACTAAGCATTCACCTTAATTACTACATGCAAACCAACGTACTCCCATATGTCTCACTCATCTTAGGATGGTTGGGTTTACTTTTTCCCCTTGTATACTGCCACAGGCAACTTCCAGATCACCCATTTATTTAAGAAGGAAAAAACCTAGTAGAGATGCATCTTATTATAAGCTCAAACTACATTTGGCACTAAAACATCTCAGGTGTGTGGTAGGAATACTGAAACCCTATGGTTGGGCTTTGGAAGCCTCAGTAATAGTTAAATGTCTCAGTGAACAAGGAACCCAGAGAAAGCTTCAATGCAAAAGACAAGGGTGTAGATTACTTTTGCAACTGTTGCAAAATAAAAAAAATAAAGCTTGCAGACATAGCTCAGGTGAGCACCTAGAGGTGGCTCAAGCAATTTGGTAACTAGCTGGCAAGCAGCAGATGAAAACAAAGGATAGTGTCTCCTTTCCTGTTGCTGCCAAACACAATTGGGGTCACTTGTGAAATTCAAAAAGTCAGTTTCATGTTGCTTGCAAAGTGGCAGAAGCTATTAATGAAGACAATCTCCACAGAAGCTGAGGCTAGAAAGTAACCACTTGGCCACTGGAAAGGAGTCCACTTTCCTCTTCCTTCCTTGGATTATTGGCATGTCCAGTGCCTGCAAGGCTCAGAAAAACAGCTCTACCACTTTTCTGAATCCCAGAATGGTCTCCACAGGATCTCTTCGGTGGTGAGAATTCCGGGATCCAAGTACCTGGGACTAGTAAAAAAACTGGGCTTCCCATGGTCAGTTTGCATCTAATCTGGTCCATTCAGCTGCTCAGTTTACGAGCTGGGCCATAACCATAAATACTCTCCCTAYGAGCACCTTCACTGTGCTTTTCTTTTTTTTAATATTGACAGAACAGCATCAACCCAACACAGGTGAGACTGAACCTTTCCCCACCCTGCACCTGTTCAACTTRTTTGACTCTTGTCTGTACCTAAGGTATAAAAAGAGAACTTACACATGTACTACATAACCTGATCAGGGGCTGCCCCACAAGCMAGAGATGCCTAGGATTTAAGGGATCAAGAGCACAGGGGTGGATGCAGTGGAAAAGTCACCACTTACACCACACAGACTCACAGAATGACTGGGGTGGGAAGGCACCTCTGGGGACCATTAAGTCCAATCCCCTGCCCACAGCAGGGTCCCTCAAAGGGGGCTGCTTATGGCCATGTCCAGGTGGGTTTTGATGATATCCAAGAAATGCAGTCTTACATTTCATATTTCATACTTATGTAGTGTAATAACACTCACTACAAAAAGGGGGTTCTCTTTTTTTCTTTTTTTTTTCCTTCTCATGCTTTTATTCATTGTGTTCAAAGCTTATATTCTCCAGGAATCTCTTCTGGACTAGTCATTGACTAGAAATTTACTTTACCTGAGATGATTAAAAAAAAATATATCAAAGCTTGTATTAGCATACAAATCTTGTGCCACTGTGACCTATTTAGGTATATGGTGAAAGAATCTTTCTCAAATAACTTTCTAAGGCTGCGACCTAGTTGGAAGGATCAAAATAAAAAGCTGATTGAAAAAAGCAGAAGGCACTTATTTAATAGAAGGTCTTAGAAAACAAAGTGATGGTCATACCAAATCCATTTAAAGTTGCTCTAAGCAATAATTAGTCACAATACAGACATGAAGTTCTATCTACTAGATTGTCTGAGGATGGCAAGATTAAGGAACACATCAAAGTTGCACCCCTTCCATGGAAAATACATCTTTTTTTAGACTTGTACTCAGATGTGAATCTATTTTTACAAAATGATTGCAGCTGCAATAAAGGTTTTTCTTTAAACTTTTTAAAAGGGCTAAACTAGATCTGTTGTACCTCCCACTAAGAATACCCCCTTGGCTGCTAAAAGAAAGGGCTGACAACAGATACCGAGTCAATTCTCCCAGCATGTGAAGTCAGATTAGAAAGAATCCAAAGTTTTTACAGTAGGAATACTTTTAGAAGGAGTAGCTTTAGCCTGAGAATCCTATCCTCATGCCGATGACATGGGATTCTTTTTGTTTGTCTGCAAATTAAACTTCTTGCAAGGACAAGAATTGGCTGGTACAAATCCATAGATAAACTTCCCTATCCAGAAGTAACTTCTAGTTAGTACATCAATATGCTGATGGATTAAGCCTCTTCTCCAGAGTTACAAACAATTATAAACAATTAATACCTCCCATTTGAGGACCTCTTAATTACAAAGAAATTTAACATTATTGAGTGAACATTCAATGACATGTAAAGGAGCAAGAACTCAAAAAATCTAAAATCACAATAATTTCAACTAAAAGCTGAACTTCAACTACTATGTTAAAAAGTGGAATTAAGTTCGAATTAAAAAAGCTGAACTTGAACCATCCTTTAAAAGACCATTAACAGTCAAACCTATTCATGGAAAACATGATGCAGCATAAATAGCTGCTTCATGTTCCTGCACCAAGAATTACAAAAGAAAATACAAAAGTAAGCAATCCAGAGGCTCTTGAGATTTTGTGAGTTTTTTTGTGTTGGTTTGTTGGTTGAGTTTTGTTTCACTTTCTTTTCAAAAAGCTCCCTTTGGAGAATAGCATAAAAATACCTGTAAACAGAGGTTGATTGTCCAAGCTTTCTTAACTGAAGTTTGCTAATTTTCTTTTTTTAATGTTAAAAAAAAAGTTCCATTCTTAGACAGTTTTGGTGAAACACACAAAACTTCCATCTAAATGCATCCCTCAATTTTTGATGCTGAACCGCATACACTGCAGAGGATTTAAGGTTTCTTTGTATCCTGTAAGGTCAGTACCACATTGTAATCCAGTAGAAGTCCCTTGATTTTYTCATGGAATTTCTCTCTGTACTGGTTGAAGTGCATAATGCTTTCTGGTTCCTCTTCAAACCAGAACTTGTCAAACTCATAAACTAGATAACCTGTGAAGAAAATACAATACCGATCTGCAAAAATTACCTCCACAATTTCCTGCCTTGATCTAGCCAGACCTAGAGTGATCCTTTAGACTCTCTTTAACTCCTTAAAACAAGGACTGTCTCATTCTGATATAAAGCAAGCTTTTGGATACTGTAATAGAATAAAAAAAAAATCTGCAAATATTGAGGTTTTCATACTGGAGTCTCTAAAAGATAAAAAGCCACAGAAATTATCCTTAAATATACATTTCTGCAGCACAATGTTTAAGCATCAGGTGCATTTCCAATACCTGATTCAGGAGACACACAGTTTGCTCTGGCTAATGAGAAAAGAGTGGAAATGTTCTCCCAAAAGCTCAAACTCTAAGTGGCCTCCCCTGAGTGGTCTGTACAAGAGAAGCTACAGATACTYACAGTAAAACTGATGGAAGTGCTCCATCTGTGGCAACCCAGAGACCAGGTTGTAGAGATGAGCCTTTAAAGTACCGTTCTTGAGCAAGCTGTATGCCATCTCTGTCAGATTGATCCCAACTATGGCATAGGAGTATCTGCAACACAGATCATGGTTTTACCTTATGCACTGAAAGACTTAAAAGCTTCCCTGGCACATTCTGCTTTAGGAAAGCTGTGAAAATCAAAATCTTTCCTGTGATAATTATTGATGAGCTGACTGCAATCTACAGACCCTGGTGCATGCAACCATGTAAATGTTACTGTAATATTAAGATGGCAAAGCTAATTCAACATTGGCCTCAACTCGTTCATTTAAAATCCTTATGYCTGCTGGAACATTAAAAATTGGATGTGAAAAACATTGTACAGTGTAAATGGGAATGGCTATTTCAACCTGTTGTTCAAGCTGAAAGAATCTGGGTTTCTGCTGCATGGTATAAAAAGCATCATAATAGAAATTCATAAACAACAGTTAAAGGGTTTCTGGAGGAAGGAAAAGTAAACATTAATTATTTTGTCTCAATTATATGGTTATGTAATTGAGCAAAAAGTTTCAGATACCCTGTGCATGACAGAGTTGCACAGGGTTATGTTATTTACAATCAAAGTCATGAAGGACTGTTATGTTTGGTAGGTCATGAAGTTAACTGGGGACTAGATGGATCAAATTATTTTATCTGACTGGGTTTGAGAGTATATTTCCCCGTAAAATTAACTACATGTTTAAATATGAAAAGTTTTCAAAAACAAATTTAAAGCTGAACAACAACRAAACATCTTTTGGTATATACTTATTACAGAGCAAAAACCTGGCCAAAAAAAGAATCTTAAGAAGTAAGATACTATCCCAACACAGAAGATGAAAACAAGKATTAATTTCTAAATCTAATCTATTACAAATAAAACTAACTACAATGTTAAAGGTGTTCACTTTGTTAAGTGAAARACAGTATTTTGCAACATTTTTGTCCCAACAAATCCATTCTGAAAAAAAAAATGCTGCACTTGGTTCCCAGCTAGAAATTGCTTTCTGTGTTTGGTTTCTCAGCCCTTCTATTCTGGCCCTTGTTTCATTCTTTAATGGAAAAAACCCATATACATTTTCCTCTTTACTTTCTGGACACACACTTGGCAGTCCTTACATGAGTTCTTACACAGAAGCAGCCACAAAAAATCCTAGAGTGACTTACCCCAGCTTTGGGTGGTTTGACCGAGAAAGGATCTGACGAGCTTCATTGGTGTAATGCCTACTAAAATACCTGCCAGTGTAAAATATTAAGTTCATTTGAAAACAATACTGCATTCAACATTAAAATCTGTAGCTTTAAACTAAAGCTGAAAACTACTCTGTAACTGAAAAAATAACAGATCCATTACAAAATGAAAACCAAGGAAATTGTAGCAAATTAAATAATATTCAGCATGAACTAATACTGTAAAAAATAAGTTATTGTGATCTAAACATCAAAAACCAAGTTCAACTTAGCTCACAAATTAGCTTAGCAAAGACATGTAAACTTGTATATTTTTCATTACAGTAGGAATTTTCACATTCAGGAATTTTTAAAACTTCTGACAAGTTAGGTGCAACCTACCAACTATCATATGGCAACAAAAAAATAAGGCCCCTTGGGCAAATTTCTGTCCCTTCCCTCCCTGTTGTTCTTACTCAACAACACCACATGTTTACAATGTGCAGCCACTAGAAATGTTGAATATACTGGCTTCTATTTGCTTTTATTCGGTTTTTATTAGAAACAGCACTAACTAGAGAAAATACAAAGATATTAAAAATCAGTTACAAAAGAAATTAAATAATTATTTTCACTTACACCAGATTCACTAAGCCCAGCAGCCCCATTCCTCTGAAGTCTGTTTTGGGATCATCACCTTGGAAGCCAATGTCACACCACTGCTTGCTGATTCTGGCCTTTAGATTCTCGTGAGGCATCAGCAAATTCCAGAGCTGCAAAAATATGTTTCCATGTTATTCTGCTCAAGCATTCCAAGTCACATAATTCAGATCACTTGCTGCTACACACTAGAAACCATTCACCAAGGAACAGGACACAATTTGCATGTTGCTCTTTTCTGTTAGTGCCAATCTGGAGTCTGCTCCAATGGCTCACTTCAGCAATTACAAAAGTTATTACATTTAATATAAATGTRGTAATTTCCCTTCACAGACATAGATGCTGTATGAATACCAAAGAAACAGAGTTGTTTCACCTCATAAATTAATTTATGCATCATTTTGTGATAGGACAGCTATAAACCAAAATACAAATTCTCAGTGAATACTTAATTAACATGTAAATGCATAGCAAGCTGAGATGATAATTACGAAGTGCTAAGAAAACAGTTTTTATCTTCCAGCATCAAACTATGTTCCCTGATGTTGATTGGGATGCAGTAATAAGAAAACATTAGTGTCTTCTTTTTTTTTAAATTTAGTAATTACTGGTTTACGAGGTTAGACGTGCGCAAGGTTAAATATCTTTTTAGAAGAGACCCATCACAAACTTACTTTGCTACTGATATGTTGTTGTTATGTCTTATTTCACACAAAATAATTCCATTGCAAGTAATTCTAGTTCGCTTTTTTTTGCTGTAAGGTTTTATTTTAATGGGGCTCTTCTATAATGAGTTTGCAGTCCGTAAGTAGAAAAGAGATTTAAACAGGCCAGCTGGTAAGAATGCTACCAATGAGTTCATTCAAGGTGTTGGACTTGGAGGGAAAAAACCAAACAAACAGCACTTGTATTAAAAAAAAATTATTTCACCTCAATTAACTGTTCCTCATGTTCTTCGTTTTCTGAATCATATGGGATCCTCCTTAGGTTTTCCACATTCAAATACAGTTTTTTATAACCTGTTATCTGCAGTAAGGATATCTGCAGATTTGTCTTAAACCTGAAATAATAACAAAACACCACAGAGAAGCTTTCAAATAGACATAAATTCTCGCTTGAATTACCAGATAAGACCTTTCTTATGTTAATGAAATGTAAACATCAGATTTAGAAAGTGCTTTATGTGTATTTTTCAAACTACAGCTACTGCTTAAGTACACTGCTACATGAATCTTATACAGTTTAAACATCTCTAGCTAATTCCAGTAGGGCAGACCCTATTACCTTAAATTATGGGGAAAAAAAAGGCTTAAATCTGTTATGACACAAGAAAACTCCACATATCATCCTGACCCCTGTACCTTCACCTACCCCCAAACTTTTTGTAAGTTTTAAAGTCAAACTTCATCAGAATTTTTTATAGATTCAAAGAAAAATATCATTAAACTTTAAAATTATGATTATCCCATCATTCACTAATTATTTATGCAGATGCATGCAAACATTAATCAGGCATCAYTATACTCTCATATATATATATGGAATTACACAGTTGTTCAACCTATGCAAAAATCATATTAGCTACAACTACGGAGTAACAGAAGGGACTTGCAAAAACAGAGATGCAGTAATCCCAAATCCACACCAATTAAAACTTTGCAATTTGTTTTCTAGAACTGACAAGGACATAACAACACCTTATTTTCAGATTTCATTCTAAATACTTGTGTTGAATGGCTTAAACATTGCATCAGGTTAAGCAACTGGAAGAACGTGCTAAGAAGTGAGAACAGAGGTTTCCAAACACACCTTGTATCCTGCTGTTCAATCTTCTTTTCTTTCATTACATCTCTGACACAGTTCTCCACTTCAGCTTCTTCAACATGTACAGCATCTCTTAAAACCTAGGAAGTTAACACAGTAAATGACTTCATGAGGAATACAGACATCTACTTTATTGCTATTTCTCAGCTTCTGTGTTTCTGTCATATTATTTACTGTAAGAGAAGGATCAATTCATTGCAATTGCTTACAGCACACTGGTTCAAATTGCATATGAAAGATTTGCAATAATCACATGAAAGCATAATTTGTAACTCTGTCAGGCTGTAAACAACAATATTTACACAGGAGTCGCATGCAGAATAAATGAAACGCTGCAGAGTTGCTTGGTCTAGGTCCTCGTTCACTTTCAGCTGCTGAATTGAAACATATTCTTCCTAATCCATCTGAAACAAGTGCAGCCAAGGAAATAATGCTTCAGAATTACGAGACAGGGAGTTAATCAAGCTGAGGTTTCAATGAAACAAACATTGGAAGGGACATGGGTATTTATTTTTGAGAAACCTTGAATAACCATAGCATACAGAACCCAAAATTCCACATTTTCTCATCTCTGCCTTTTTTTCCCCTATAGTTCTACACTCTCAAAAAGAAATGCATGTGTTATTATTCTGGGATCTGTCTCTGTGAAAGAAGGTTTTATTATAGTTTCATCTCTAGTATCTCTTACCTTATTCTTTGATGATTCCAGTGAATGTTCTGCAATACGGAAAAAAAGTAGATGTCAGTTAAACTGAACTGTTTTAAATAATTGAAATAGGTGTTTTTGCAGTATATAAGTGTTATAAAGTTTCACATCCCTTTTATACATAYAATAAAAAATTACTCAATCTTAAAATGAACAGGTAACAGGTTATCAGGCAACAGAATGTCTTAACACAGTTTTTTTATAACTCTTCAGTATAATGTTGAAAGTAGACTTGAATTTTTTAAAACATCAATTACATGTACAAAACAAAGAAATTTGAAAAGGTCTTGGGAAAGAAATATGCCAATTGGTGTTTTCCTGTTCTCAGAAATTATTTGTGTTTACTACTGAGGAATAAGGAAGGTCATTTCTGCAAGCACTGTAAAAGCACRAAAGTATTCCATAGTTTCTTGAATTGCCCTTTTAGATCAGAATTCTGCATCAAGCAGAATGGTGAGTTAAATCACTCTTCTTCCACACCACCAAAAAATATTTATGTCTGTGGAACATGCAATTTTTTAGTAACAGGAAGGTAAAAACATACACAAAGTGATGTGAAGTCTCTGGGGGAAAAGGTATGATTTCTGATTCACTTTTTGATGACAATAGAACTTCCTTAGCAAGCAGACAAGGAAACTAGCTTTGGCGTTGATTTAGAATTCTTATAGGAGAGCTGAGATGAAAGGAAGAGTGGAAACACAATTCAGGGGATGCACCCAGGTACTGGTTTCCAGCTACGGGAGTGCAGGAGGCTTAGGGGGCACCTGATGGCTCCCTAAAACCACTGGAAAGGAGGGGATCGGTCCCTTCTCCCAGGTAACCAGTGACAGGAGAAAAGCAAATGCCCTCACGTTGTGCCACGGGAAGTTTAGGTAGGATGTTAGAGAAAATGTCATCACCGAAAGGGCTGTCAAGCACGAAACAGGGCAGTAACTGAGTCACCACAACTCCTGGAGGGATTTAAAAGGTGTGTGAATGTGGCACTTGAGGACACCATTCAGCGGTGCGCTTGGCAGTGCTCGGTTAATGGGAGGACTCGATGATCTCGGTGGTTTTTTACAAGCTAAATGATGCTGTGACCGTGCCGCTCCTCAAGCCATTCAGCGGTGCGCTTGGCAGTGCTGGGTTAATGGCCGGGCTCGATGATCTCGGTGTTTTACAAGCTAAATGATGCTGTGACCGTGCCGCTCCTCAGGCCGTTCCCTGAGGCCCCAGCCCCTCCATTACCTACGCTCAGCGTCCGCCGCGCCCCCGCCTCCGCGCCGCCCAGGACGCGCTGCAGCTCGCACCTCCCCGTCAGCAGCCGCAGGACCCACTTGAGCCAGAAGCGAAAGTATTTGTTGTACAGGAACCGCCACACGCGCGTCCACATCCTCCGGCGGGCGGCGGCCCCGCAGCGGCGGGACCCGAACCCGGCCCGGCCCGGGCGCTGCTCCCTCCCCTCCCAGCCCTGCCCTGCCCGCCCTTCCCGCGCCCCCTCGCGGCCGGGCCGCCCCCGCCGCCCCTCAGAGCACGGCGGGCACCGAGCGGAGCCGGCCCGGCCCCCGCATCCCGCCGGAAAGCACCGCCACCCGACCTGGAAGTGATCGTGGATACGGGACMCGCCGGAAGTGCCGCCTGGCAAGTGGCTTCCCTTTCTCTGTGGGTGGTGTTGGAATGGGGCGCTGCGGCTCCCTCGCCTGGCGCCTGCCCGCCTCCCCTCACGTCCCGTCCCGTCCCCTCACTGCTGCCGGATTGATCACCCGGTGTGCAGCAAGCCCATAATGGCACTCGAGAGAGAGATATCGGTTATCTGTGTCAGAGTTGAGCAACCCTGGGTGCTCACAGATGCAGTTCGAGCTTTTTCCTATTTATACATTTTATCAAGCAAAGGGATTAATCTTCTTTAGCTACAAGTTACATAGTTCTCTTATTAATTAGTATTCTGCCTTCTACTGGTTAAGGATTGTCTCACTTCTCGTGGTAATTAATCCCATGCTCAGTCTTTCTCTSTTTTTGGGCTGGTGGGTTTTTCGGGTTGGTGCTCTGTGAGTTGGTTGGGATCTGTCCCTGTGGGAATTACCTGTTACCTGGCTGGAGCCGATTTTAGCACAATTGCTGAGTTGTCTCCATTTGTTTTTCCGTGTCTTGGGAGTTCTGCCAGATCACCTTGTGTCCCCCAAGATCTGCATTCTTTGTGTGTACCACGGGACATCCACTGTGACCTTGGCAGGTCCTTCTTCCTAAGCTTTGCCAACCTCCCTGGGATCACTGAAGGTCTGAGAACATCAAAGCATGTCCAGGCCTGAACCTTAACAAGGCAATTCTACCAACAAGTAATTCATTTTCCTAACACCTGGACATCACCAAAAGCTTGTTGGGTGCTTTTGATAGTTGATAGTTGTTGATAGTTAGATCTACCTTCTTGTTGGTTAGGCTGGAAAGTGGATAAAGATCAAAACACCAAAGGACCGTCTTTCTTAGAAAATTTTTACACATTTCACTTCTGGCAACAGTTGGGCTAGATGATTTTAAGCAGCTTGTTGCCAAGGTTCCTGCCTTGCCTTTGCTGAATGGAGGTTCAGCTTGAGTGTTGCRTTTAGTTCCAGTCACTACTTCCATTGTATTGTAATTAATGATTGTTTCAGTAAACATGGGTTGAACACAGCAGAATTGTATGCAAAATTTGGAGTGTTAAAAGGGAGCTGGCAGACTTGCTTGACCACATTCTGATAGAGTTTTTGATGTGTGAAAGTTGAAATACCTTTTACACAAAAATCAAAAGCCACATAGCAGGTCTGATGGCCTGTGTCCCACAGAGGATTTCAGAGAGTAGACCAACACGTTTGGCATCCCCTCTCTGGATTTCTACACTCATAGGGGTGCAGAGTATCATGTGAGGAAACCACTGACACATGAAYTTCAGTTGTTTGCAGATCTTATTCCTACTCTTAAAAACTGTGAGGAGAGGTGGTGCATGTTGCATGTCAAGAGGCAATGTAACTGCTTRTGGGAGCAATCTGACTTTCAAAGCATTGGAGCATTGCATGAAAATAAGATTGAAAGTATTTAATCTCTATTGAAAAGTATTCTTACTTGGTGACAAGATGACACAATAGTTTAATCACACTACATGCATATCAATTGTTCCAAGATAGCCAAACCCCAGAAAATATATTGAGAAAAAAAAAATCAAAGATCCACTGCCTAAAAACTGGCAACAGAAACTGGAGGAAAGAAATTTGTCTGTGTTGCAAGACCTGGGTGTAGGCTACAGCTCCCACCTAGCTTGGATGTGAAACAACTCTGAGCAAATATTCCAGAGAAAAAAAGATTGTGCTATACCTCCCATCTGACAGCTTGGCAGAGCACTGCTGCTGCAGTAGTTAAACACAGCTGAGCTGAAAGCTTCTTGTCCGGGCTACACCACCGGCAGAAGGGTGTTAGTTTGATATTGGGAAGGCACAAGAATTGCAACAAAATGAAAGGGTGGTCAGGCTCTTCCTGTCAGTGTTTATGCCCACACATGGATTGCACTGAGATAGTTAATTAAAAGCATGTGCTACTGGAATTTTAGAAAGTCCAGCAGGTGCATCCTTAAAGCGTGGGTCTGCACAAATAACACAGGGAAATTTCTAGCTGATGAGACTTTTGTTATTCTTTTATACCAAAATTAAACCATTCTGCTGCTTCAAGGGTTTTACTTCCTGTGGCATCTCTTACTGGATTAAATAGCTTCATACCAATAATGAATATTTTTTCATTATATTTATACCTAAATAGAAATTACTTTTTGGTGTGGATTTTTAAGAACCAAAGTAACTTCTACTTGTTTGGRAATTTGTTCCACTTCCTAGTTTGATTTAATGTAACAATACGTACACAAAGTATGGGATTATTGTTTTCTGAGTTCTCTTTGCTCCCAGTCTCCAGGACTGATGTTTAGAGTATCTGGTATTGACAATACATTGCACCACACTTCTCTGTGAAATAATTAGATTTGTTGAGTCAAGCTTGATAGCTTTTAAAGTCTTGTTTTAAATTAAGCACTTATGAAGTGTGAAAGTTTAAAAAAATGCAAGTTTTAGTCTAGCTTACACCTTTTTTTTTGCTCGTATGATGCTTTCTTCACTTTAAAACTATTTTAAAGTAAAATGCAGTTAAGTAAAAGCCGATTAATTTAATTACTTTAAAATATTAAAGCATGCTTTTTTACAGTTTTTTTCACAGCTTTTTATAAATTGCAAAACAGCAAGTATGTTTGATTTAACACAAATGTTAGCATTTGAGTCATGCAAGATGCTTCTGTATCACCTTCAGTCAATTTATAAATTATATTAAGACAGTCAAAAATACAATGCAGTAGCCTTAAAAAAAAAATTCTGCCTTCCTCTTTTTGTGGTCAGTAGTTGCCTTCAAGTCTTACCTTCACAGAGACTTTGATTGAAGTAAAGATCATGACCTGTTTACATTTTAAAATCCCATTTCTTGGCTGACAGCAGGGCAAATAACCAGCAGTATCARTTGGATCCCTCTGCAGTCAGAAAACTTTTCATGGCAGTGACTATTACGTATTGTTAATGGTAATTATTCTTTGTTCATATACCCTTGCAGATGAAGGACATATGAAATAATCCACTGCTTTGCTCGCCTGTATTTTGTCAAATATTTATTTTAATGTTTCTTATCTGTACTCTTGCTTACACACAGATGTGTGAAAACATTATTAAAAATGTGGAACAATCATCTGAGCAAGAAAAGACATTCAGTTACAAAGCACAAGGACAAACTTAGGAACAATCTCTTGAAAGCAAAGAGAACTAGTCCACTGAATCATTTGCTTAGTGTCAATTATTACAGGTTACTCAGCAACGTGTTCTTCTATAGAGTTTTATAAAGATGATCAGTTTGCCAAAAATGCAGCAAGTCTGCTGCTGGGAGGTAAAACTGCTGTGAAACAATTAACACTTCTCAAAAACCCCAGCACAACTTATTCCAGTTGAACACAGTTCTTGACCACGTGGAGTACATGAAGAGAGCCCTGGGAGGGAGATACCATGAAAGCATGAAGCAGATAAGGGGGCCTGTTTGCAGGTAGGTCCCAGGGCAGTGGAAGTTCATGACAGTTTCAGTCATCAGATTTTTGATTTTTTTTGGAGGACCACTCAATGCACTACCTCACTGTAAGTTAATGAGCTAGTCTGTGAAGTTAGGATCAAGTAAATGGYCACCACAACTCAACATGGCTGAGTCACTGTATCTGTTGCCTGAATAAATAAAATCAAATGCAGTCAATATCAGTCTCCACAGACATTTCCCATGCTCTGTGTCAGTTTGTTATTAGTTTCTGGAAATATGTGATAGTNTTTTTTTTTTTTTTTTTTCTTACTGGCTCTGAACATAAGCTAAAATTAAGTGTGTGTTAGATTTCTGTTAATCTTATCTTCAGCAGCCCTCCAGCTTGACTACGTCGTTTATGTGTTTGCTTTGGCTTTATAACAGAACACTAACCAGTGAATTAAAAGACATTTTGTTCATGACTTGGGACATATTTAATGCTCATTTGTTCCTCTTAGTTCTAAATCTCTGTTTTACTGCACATGTGCCAAAATCAACATTGACCCTTCATCAAAATTAGTGCTCTGAGCTCTTAGTTTATTAACTTGGAGAGGGAAATGGTGATAGGGTGACAGAAGGAGAGCATTGAGTTGTGATTGCATTGCATCTTATTAGCCAATTATAAATGCATATTCAAAGTGTAGCTTAAAGATTTCTCTGTAAAAAATTTCAAAGGCACAGAAACAGAAGGTAGAAGGAAGTTTGTGACAAATGAGTACAGGGCAGGAATATGGTGGTCTAACTCAAGGCTTCACAATGATTCAGGGAGCCAACTCAGATTTTTAGTTCACCATATGGATAGTGACACAAGTTGCTAGCAGTCTCCTACATTATTAATGAATAAAAACATTGATAATTCAAAGTAATTAGTAAACAGAGAAGCAAACCCATCCATATCATCAGTCAAACACAGGAAGATAACACTAGCTGTGCCAGAGCAGCAATATACAATTTGTGGGGTCTAAGAATTCCGAAAAGGGCATGGTTATACTGTTGGTAGTATAAAGGCAGCATTGACATTCGGACTCCAGCACACCTGTGTCTGGATGCCACCGATGTAAGGGTTTAGGATTGCTTACACCACACCATCACAAATGATTTGGGGATTCGGCAAAAAATGAGGTAAGTTGTTAAGTAAACAAATAGAGAAAAGGAGGGAAGAGATACTGTATTAATAATAAAAGCTTATTTTTAGAAAACAAATTATCTAAAACATGGCACCCTCTGTGTAAATAAGTTAATGAGTTATATATGCTAATAATACAATCGGGAAGTAGAAACCAGYTTAGATAGCAAAGAGCTTACAGCTTTTATGAAGTACCCAAGTCCAATCTGTTTTCTGAAGCTGTCCTTTAGATGTTTGCAACACAGAACAGGAAACCATATTTTCTTTATCATAGGTGTGGAATGAAGGGTAGATTTGTGAGCAGGTAGAGAACGTGACAAAGCAAAAGCCACTAGATACCTGCTAATCAGGTATAAGAAGGAGGAACATTTTTTTCTTGTGAAATGTAGGTGGTTTTATTAGAACTGTGTCACTGTAAGTAGTTCCAGGAACCTTGGTGGATACCTTATATAAAGTATCCCTTCCCTTTATAAACTRTTTTATAGAAGATGTATTCTAAACAATGACTAATTTTTTGTTTTCTTATGGATTGCTGAAGAGCTAAAAAGGCAAATAGGTGTGCATGCCTGAACGGAAAGGCACATGTGTGAAGCAAGAAACAATATCTGAAGCATAATACCTTTACCCAATGTACATTAGACTTTCATCAGGTTAGATTTTGCAGCTGCTTGCCCTCCCTTTTCCTTAAAGGTGAAAAGCTTGGCTTATTTACCTGATTCTGTGACTATGCTAAATGCATGTATTAATTGTACGCTACAGCTTGGCTTCCTGATACGATCTTATAAGCAATATGCAAACAAATGCCTCATTGGCTTTAAATGAGCAAAATAATGTTAACCATTAAAATGTTGCGCAGAAAACATTCACATTGCCAGAGGTTTATGTCCAAAAAGGAGACAGAGGAGTCCTGCAACTTTAGTAATGAACAAAGGGAGAGGGCATGGGGTTTTTCCTATGAGGTCTCTCAAATTGTTGGAGGACACAGCCTCCTTTTTATCTTAATTTTCCCAGCTGCATCACCCTCTCCCTTTTCCCATTGGCTGAAGTACCTGGAAGGTACAGACTTCCCAATTTGCCTGCTACAGGTCCCCGTTAATATGCACCACCACCACCGCCACCAACCTCCTTGTATTATGTAGTTCTATTAAGTCGTTGTTCTTTTTCTCGATGTTCAGGAATTTAGCATAACCTTATTTGAGCAGGAGTCCCTGTCAAWTAGTAACATTTTCTGAAACTGATCGTTTCTCCTTATCCTTATAGGGTCTCTGGCCTTATGTACAAGCAGATTCACAGCCCCTGTTTGTAAAGACAYATTCATCTKACTCCTTTCARTGTTATGATTTGGGCTAAACAGCACTCGCCGAAGTGCCGGTCCCAGACGTTTTTGCCGTGAAAACAAAACCTACACTTGCCSCAATCAAGAGGTTTTTCAGTGTGGCTCCGAGCGTGGGGAAGGCTCTGCCAGGGGCTTTACAGCGGGGATTGGCGTGGACACTCGTTCACRAGGCGGGTGTCTCCCGGGGAAAGCCGGGCGGCGGGAGGAGCGGGTGCCCGTCGGTAAGGACACGCAAAATGCAGAGGGGACAGCCACTCCTCGGGGGACGCCGATGTGCAGCGGGAGGGCTCGGCGGCCCCGCCCGGCGGGCAGCAGTGCGGGACATGCCCCGGCCCTCGGCGTGGGGGCGGGCAGGGCAGCGCGGACACGCCCGGCCCGCGTTGCCCGGGCGGAGGCGGCGGCTGGCGGCGGCGGTGCCGGGGGTCGTGCGGGCAGTGCCCGCGGGAGATGTGGCTGAGGCTCCGGCAGGTCCTGCCGGTGCTGTGCCTCGGCGCCGCCTTCCCCCTGCTGTGGTTCGCGGCGTGGCAGGGGAGCCGAGGTGAGAGCGGGCGGTGCGGGACGCTCCGTCCCGTCGGTCCTGGGCGCGCAGGGCGGGCGGCGCGGTGGCACCTGCGGGACCCCTTTCGCGGCCGTCGGGGCAGCGCCGCGTTGGCTCCGGTGTGCCCGCCAGGGTCTGCCCGCCTAGAGCCGGGCAGCGAAAGGCTGGGGTCGCGGCGAGGAGCTCGTCGGGTCACCCCATCCCCTCCCGGAGCTCCGGACCCGCTTGGCTCTCCGGGCGCGCTGGGCACAGGAGGAACGTGCGTGGCCCCGAGGCTTGGCCGCGTGTAAGGTTGAGGGTGCGGGTCTCACCTGTTCCCCCGGTGTTTAACTGCACCCAGGCACAAGCTTGCGGTAACAGCTTACCGGATTTGATCCTTGGGCCACATTTGTCCGATTAAAAATACACTCCTAAATTTAAGAAACAATAAAAGTTTCTTTTAAAAAATTTTCCCTAACTTTTTTTTTCTCTCTCTCTCTCTCTTTTTTTTTCTTTTCTCTTTTTCTAAAAAACATCTTGCATTAAGATGGAAAGAAAAAAATCTAAGAGGGATTGCTGTGGCTGTCACTTTTAAAGTGTTTTTGATTTTCATATCAGGGACGATAAAGGAGCATTATCCATACCACCATTGTATTTGTGCCTCGCGTACAGTCCCTTCTTTTTCTATCCGTATTTCCATGACCAGAATGCTGTGTTCCAGAGAAAAATACCTGAATTTTTATATTTTATTTCTAAACTTTAAAATGAGACACCATCTTTTTATAATAGGTTATGTRGGTGACACATGCCAGATAGATCTACATAAAACCGTATCTAAAATTCTCTGAGCCAGCACAGGAAAGATAAAACTGATTATATTTTCCAAAAATAAATGAGAAGGTCTCTTCAAATAGTATCTCTGAGACTTGCAGACATGGCTTGTTACGGGTGAGGGGGTGGTTGGTTTGGGGTGAGGGAGAGAGAGTGGATCTTTGAGTGCTTCCTACATACATCTTTATAATAGATAGGTTTCAGAATTAGAATAAGAAGAATTAGAATAAAGCAATTAGTAATTTCTGGGATGAATACGAATCCAGCTAGCAGATAATTTGTTTGTATTAATTGTTCCTGTAACAAATACAAGTGGTGGTAGAGATCTTGTCCCCACAATGGCATGCTGATTAGAGTCAAAGCAATGCTGATCCTCTTGCCCTTCAGCAATTTTTTGTGAACTGTGTGGTTATTCGTCTTATAACACTAAATGTTTTCTTCAGTGGCACTCTTTCTAAGAGTGCAGAAGGAAAAATTAAGGGTGTGTCTTAAGAAACTAAGATCCAAGAGATGCCAGGATAAAAGCATTTGTCCAGTCTACAGCTACCGTCGTGTTGTCTTGTGGCTCATATTTTGGGATTCCTCATTACTGACATTACATTTTCATTTCACTTTTTTTTGCTGTTTCTCTCCATGCTGGGCTGTTTTGCCTTGGGTTTTTGTTTGTTTGTGTTTTGTTTATTTGTTTTGGGGAAGAGAGATAATGTGTATCGCAGCATATATGTGTTGTCTTAAGTTCTTCCACAGTTGTCTCCTCCTCCACAAGTAAACTGAGTAACTAATTCCTCTCAGATGGTGTAGTTTTCCTAATTACTATTATTACTGGCACCTGTTTTTTTAGCAAACTTCTATCCATTGCATATGTAAATATGTAGTCTTCAGAGACTCTAAATCTCACAAATGGTAAATAAAATAATTAATATCAATAACTAAAGGAAGAAGTRGCAGTATGTGATGAATGATTTTGTGTTCTGTTTATTTTACTGAAATTATAGCCTTTGCTCCCAAGGGTCGTTAGAAGACAAGCCTACTATCCATCCAGAAAACCCTAAGAACAGCCAGCCAAAGATAGCAACAACAAAGGTTGTTACCTTTTTCCACAGAGAGAGAAGCAGTGGGTGCAGACCAGCTAATGCTCTACTGTTGTCACAGGGTATTTGCTTGAGAAAGTGGCTTGAAATTAATATTTTGCTCTGAAAACAGGCAGATATCTATGCTTAGATGTTGTTAARCCTGTTTTTTCCTTCTGCGCTGCTGAATTTTGTCTCCATTGTCATGCTTAGAGCAGTACAGGAGTTCCCACTTTTGATGCATCTCAAACTGTGATGTGTGGGTTTTTCCTAATTCCCTTTTCACTTAGCCCACCAGTTACTGAGAGGCCAAGYACTGTTGCAGTGTGTCAGCTCCCATCTCTTTCCCTCATTTGTCACATGTTTTCTGGCTTATTTTCTTCCCCATGTGTTAAACCTCCCCTTACTTTTTTCCCTTCTTTGCTCTTCCCATTGAAATGCTTAGACTGCCCTTAAGTTTTAAATACAGTCTATCACACTAAACAGCAGTAGTCTGTAATATTGACTCTGGTTTCTATTTAGTTAATTGTTTCATGGATAGTAGTGATTCTGGGATAGTAAATAATCTTTGTACAACTAGGACAGGTCACCCGAGCTCAAGACTTTTGGTCTTAAGTACTTATATAATATGAAAATTACATAATAGCCCTGTGAAATATTGTTCAGTTTGTCCATGGTCTCAAAGCCTTTCAGCCTTTGAATATTAGAAGTGTAAATTGGGTATTGGCTCTGTCCTGATCTTTGTGCAAATAAAAATCTATAGATTAAGCCAGTGACCTTTGAACACCTTATGATAAAAGTAGCTTGAGAGATTTGAGTTGAAATATGTTTGCTGTCAATGACAGCAGTAAATAATCGGCTGCTTGGTGCTACTTCTGACTGTTACATGCAGCCTGAGTATYGACTTGGAGCTGTGAGACTAAAATCAAGTATAGGTAACTCAAACTGGCATAGCAAGAAAGATGTTCCTCACTCTTCCACTTGAAAATAAAAGATCCGAATCTACCAGTCAGTAGACATCAGCTGGTATATATTTTAATTATGGTTAGGAAGATGTTTCTGTGGTCACTTTTCCCAATGTYTTATAAATATAA